GTTCCGAAGATGAACGAATGTCTTACGGGTTTGGAACGACATGAGGGTGAGTAAATAATGACAGAATCTTAATTTTTGGGTGAACTATCCCTTTAAGAAACGAGTAGCTTTTCCAAAAGTCAGTGGAAAATACAGAGTCTCATTTAAAAAGCAACAATTTAATGAAGAGATATGTTTTTTTAAGAAAAAAATTCTGCATCAGAACTCTTCTGTAACATCTCTGTGTTAAGTTGTGAGTGAATGATGTGGCGTCTCTGGTCAGGTGTCGGGTCTGTCCATGTGGATCGGTCGGCAGCTGGAGCCGATGAGTGGTCTTCCTCCGTGGTATAGATGGAGGTGTTATTGTTATTATTGTCTCCTGTCCCTCAGTCCGAGACGCTGCACATCAACCCTCTACACACACTCATCCCCGCCACCATGTGTGTGTCCTTCGGCGTCATGCTGCCGGTCGGAAACCCGCCGAACGCCATCGTGTTCAGCTACGGACACGTGCAGATCAGCGACATGGTATGACTCAACATTAGGCTGTTATATCAGCTCCGTCCCGTCTCACAGCTGCACCAGGAACAACGCCGGGGCATCATTTGTTTTTCATAAGCAAACTGAGGGTGAAACAGGTGCCTGGTCCACTTCCAAAAGTACACCTCCTTATGATTTTATACAGTATGTCAGACAAATATTTAATATATTTTAGCATATAATTAGGACTTCAGAAATGTAACAGGGCTAGGATGAACTAGGATTCCAGCTTTGCATATAATTTTAATATGCAAAACTACAAGATGCTCATTTGAAAGAATCATTTAATTATCAGTTGTTTGTTATGCAATGCCATTTTAACACAGATGACATTTTATGCTAATAAATGTAACACAACTGAATAAGGAATATAAAAATATTCCTTATAAAAAAGTAAAATATAAAAATATATATAAAAAAAGATTCCTTGAATATAAAAAATGAATAAGAAAAAAAAAAAGAAAAAAGTCAGCGAGAGACAATAGCTTGTCTTGAAAAGACTTTTTTACTTTTATTTATTTATTTTTTTTATTTATTTTTTTTTTTTTTAGTTTAAAAGGGGGAAGGTATTCAGAAGACAATTTCAGGTCTCTTAAATAAAATATTATTTTAACTAAAATCTATATACATAATTAAAAATATTTTATTTCTGTCCTGTTTTATTATATTATATTATATTATATTATATTATAGAAACACAGAGGGGTGGAAAGGCCAAAAAAAAAAGCATAATCATGATGAAAGAAAAATAAAGAAATAAATAATATCTAGATTTTTGATTGTGTTTTGAAAAATGTATTTGTTTTTATTTTAAACTAAAACTACATCACCTAAAAGAAAATATTTGATTACAATTATTTACAAATATATTGTAATTTTTTTATGATAATTAAAAAAAACTATTGTACCTTAAAAACTAAATATTATATTATATTAACATTTATATTGTGGAAAAACAAAGGCCAAAAATGCCAATTGATGTTGAAAGAAATACAATAAAATAAATAAATAAAATAGCTGGCTTTTGATGATGTGTTTTGAAGAACTTTTCATTTTAAAACGTACTAAATGTCTGCATCAGCTAAAAGGGGAAAATATTTGATTATTAAATATTTAATTATTTTTAAGTAAAATAATTTTTAACTTTATATTTGAACTAAAATGTATAATCTAAACATTATATTATATTATATTAAAACATTTATATTGTGGAAACACATAGGCCAAAAAAATGCACATTCATGATGAAAGAAATTGGATTTTGGTTGATGTGTTCAAACAATGTCTGTTTTAATACATATTAAATGTCTGTATCATCTATTTATTATTACATTTATATTTAACACATACAGTACGTTTTATTTAATGATTGTTGTAAAAACCACTTACTAGGGACATATACAGTATATTACGTTCGTCTGGGAAGCACAACAATCAGGTCATTTACAGTATTAATTGTATAGGGACTTTTTTTTGCCCATCACCCTGGTATACCTACTTACTGACATACGTTATATTGTCTCCTCGTGTTTTTCAGGTGAAGGCCGGTTTTGGAGTGAATCTGATCGGGGTTTTTGTGGTGATGTTGGCCATCATGACGTGGGGCGAGCCACTCTTCCACCTGAGCGAGTTTCCCACCTGGGCTCTGATGCCGAATGTCACGGGCAGCTTGTAGCTGTGTTTGATCGAGGACATGGCACATACACTGAAGGAGGCACATATACGTGATTAAGGCCTTATTTTTTATATCCGTGGAGTAAGAGGAAGTCCGTCGGAGGATGCAGAACTGCTCACTGGGACTGAATGAACGGCGCGATCGCTGGAAACCATTCTATATAGCAAAGCATTAGATGTAGATTAACATCTCTCCAAGTTTACGTGCCTACAAAACACAATCAGCGATGTTTGTGTGAAAACACCGAATGCTTTATTTTCTGACATCTAACAAATGTCGCGATGCATTTGCGTTATTTACTTTGTTAGGTTTGTGCATCAGATGAAGTCGCTGCTGAAATCACGCATAGTATCTAACATGCTCTTACCAAATGTTACATAGCTCATGTTGTCTGGTTATGGAAGATAGTTTCAAACGTTACACACAAATCCTGGCAATCGTAAATTGAGTAAACCTCTGTGCCGCTGATCGTTGTACATACAGGAAACTAACATTTTGTTACTGTCGGCAGCGAATCATTGTAATATGTTCTGTGATCGATTTCTTTCACCTGACATCTCTGAAAACATAATAAAACACTGTATTTTTGGGTCATTTATTTATTTTGCATTTCAAACATCACACTGAAGCTCCATACAGTACAGATGCATTGAGATAAATGATCAGACGAGACAAAAACACAATGTTTCATATAAGTTTTCACTGTCAAGAGTCCAGTGTTTTCATTTCCTCCCATGTCTATAATTTTGACGCTCCTTCAGTTGGTTCATAACCCTCGTTTTGTATTTTCTCCTTGTACTTCAAGAAGTCCCTCCGTTTGACGAAATACTTCACCTGCGAATGAATCACGACAATCAGTTCATGCAGATTCAGTGATAAATTCAACAGAACATTGCTAAAAAACTGTATTAAATGTGCACTTGTAGTGTACTTCAATTCTTAAAAGTATATTTTTAAAACACTGTTCTTGTAGATAATATATTGCTAAAATAAAAGACCACTTAAGCGTACTTAAAGAGAGACACTTGCATGTCTGTTCATGAAAAGTGATCAGTTGTTTATTATACATAATCACTGATAAATGTAACAAAACTTGATAAAAACTAAGAAAGAGAGAGACAGTAGTTTGTATTAAAGTTATTTTTTCGTTAATCACTTTAAAAGGGGGAAAATATTAAGACAATTTCAATAAAACATTATTTTAACTAAAAACTATACACAAATAATTTTTAAAATATTTTTCTTAATGCTATTATATTACATTATATTATTATATTACATAAAAATATATTTGGAAAACAGCCTATTCATGTTGAAAAAAAAAAAATAGAATAAAAGAAATAACTAAAATATCTGGATTTTTGATGATGTTTTGAAAAACGTACTAAACATAATAAAAGTCTGAATCAGCTAAAATGGAAATATATTTGATTACAATTCATCAAACTAAATTTATTTTACTTAAAATATATAAACTATATATTATATTATAAATTAGATTTTAAAATCATTTATCATTTTTAAAGCATTTATTTTTTTTGTATTTAAAATGACATTTACAATTATTTCATATTTTGTCATGCTTTAAAGTACACTTGTCTGATTATAATTTTATCCACAGCCTGTTATGTGATATTACATTAAAATATATTTTAAATGTACTAAATTGCAACGTCATCATTACAAACGTGCAATTACAAATATATTTAAATGCACGAAATTAATGCAGTAATGACATAAATGCATACCATATGTAATTACATGACAAGATGTATTTAAATCCTACTTAGGTGGGTCAAAAAAGCACAGTAATTGCATTTAAATTCTTATATATTTTCTTTAACTTAAATATTTAACATTTAAATACATTTTTTAAAGTATACTATTCCGTAATATGCGCTCTTTCTAAAAGTATGCTAAAGTGTACTTCTACATTCAGAGTGGAATACAAGTGCACTTATTAGAAAATATTGCATGCTATTTTGTAGCATGTAAATGTACAGGGAACATAAATCAGATTTTTTGGTTTCATTTTCAATAAAAGATAAGTTAAATAAGCCAGTAACGAAGCTCCAAGAAATCTTAATTATGCATGACAGCTGCTGCAAATGCATTCAAATTGCAAGCAGGTGTCAGAGATTCATATATAAAACCTTATGAATCTCAAAAGATATGTTGCTGTTTCTGCTGCACTCGGGGCTATGGACTGACCCACTGGGCAGGACACTTGGCTTCAAACTCTCGCTGGTGTTTCTCGCAGACAGATGTTTGATCCTGATGGACATCTAGACACTTCCAGAGCTCGTCTCTGGCGCCCCAGCAGGCTTTGCGTCCACTGGCGTTAAGAGCGCTCATCTCTCCTCAGTCAGTCTGCAGGTTTGTCAACAACCGCAATATAAATCATGTGTCTACATGGCAAGAACATTACAATAACAGACAGTAACACATTTCTATTTGAGTACACGTTATTATTTAGCTGACAGTCGAGCTCTGTGAAAGAATAATATTCTAAGCGCTTACCAAAGACGGTTCATCACTTTATGTACTTTCTGCAACTGTTATTAAACTAATAAGTGTTAATTTGTCATATTCTGAAGTGCAAAGAGTCTCAAGGACGCGTTCAGCATGTAGGAACTAAGGCAACTAAACGTGTCGCCTTCTGATGACGCGAGTGATTGCATAAAAGTAGTTAATTCAGTGACCGCTAGAGGGGGCACTTGAACCTCTTTAGTTTAATTTATTGAGAAATTTTATATACATTCAATTACATAAAAATATGGTTTTAATATAATTGTATATTAAAACCATTAAAAATGAGTTACTTGAAATGAAGTAAACGTTAACAAGTAAAATGAAAAAATATAAAAACTGTAATTTCTCATTTTAATTTAGTTTAACTTGATGTACTAAAATAACTAAAACTGAAAAATGAAGAAAAACTATAGACATATAAAAAATCATTTCATATCTTAGTTTAACTTGATGCACTAAAATAACTAAAACTAACACTGAAAAAATAAATAAACTATATAGACATATAAAAAAAATACAACAAAATTAGTAAAACATGAATTAAAATGAAAATATAAAAACTGATCTATCTATTCATTTTGTTTTTACCCATGACATGATTTTTTTTTTGTTGTTGTTATTTGCTTGTTGTTTTCACAAATGTTGGCAAGGAAAAATAATATCTGGCCATTTTAAATGTGAAAATCTTTGAAAATTCACTCGTTATCAGAC